AGCGGCACCCCTTCCCTAAGGGTGCCAAAGTGGCACGCCTTGGCATGTCCTGGTTACTATATATTTTTCTTATTGTAATATCAACAACCTATGACAGTCGTTCTTACCCTATTTGCCCATCCAAAATCCCCAAAACTGGCGCCCTGAGTCTCCGAACAACGTCCAGGACTCGCTGCAAAATCTCCAGTTGTCGAATTTGAACACCTCCGCTGGGATAACTGGGCGAGCTAATAACAAAATGACCAAAGATTGATAGCTGGTGAAAATGGGTCAAAATTTGAGTCAAAACATGTCAAAACCCTGGTTAACTAGGCTGGTAATAGATTAAAATAGCTGGATGATGCTGGATGTTTATTGCTCCAAATAGCTGGACAATGTCAAATCCCTGCGCAGGGTTTAAGTTTTTTTACTATCCAAAACAACAAACATCAAAACCCTAAAACCTAAAACCCTAAACCCTAAATTAAAACCCTAAATCCTGAAAAATTAAAGTCAAAATCACTGCGTTTTCATTCATCCTTCGGTGATAAGTATATCATATTGTTTGGATGTGGTGTTTGAGTGTGGGCGAACCAGGGGGTTGCGGGGAACATGTTTAACATCCTGTGAATGGAAGAACTGCACCAGTTGGTACATATTTTGGTAGCTATGAAATAATGGAAGGATTTCTTCCATCCACAGTAGCGATGTAGGGCAACGCTGAAGTAAGCCCACACGTGGGATGGTTTCAGCGAACGGGAGGTCGTTGGTATGTTGGTAAGGGTCGAGTTCCAGGATGAATGGGCAACCAAGTTTTCACCATGGCGACCATGGGGTTGAATCAACCATGATCAACCCAATGTTTTCATAGCCAACAATCAGCCTACTATTCTCCCAGGGACATGAACGTGCAAACGAAAAAACACATATGCGATACCGCAGTCCGTTGAGTCGTTGCGTCATTGGTCCATTGGTCTCTGGTTGCTGAGAACGCAACTCCGGATGTCAAATAGTGCCGGAACTTCCGCGATGCAGGCACCAAGGAGTGCCACCTGGATAATCTTCTCATGCAGCAGGGTTGGCTAGCGCGGCCCCCAAAGTTACATTAAGTTGCTGTGAGTAGAGCCTACAAGCCATAAACCATATTTAGGCTAGTAACCCAACTTAGCTACCGTTCGAGGTCCCCACCTGAGAAACACAGGATACAGCAACCCGCAACCCTCACAAGGTGTAGAAAAGTTGTCAAAGCTGAACCCAGGATTGTGCAAACCCCCCCAATTTTTGAATAGGGTGGGGGGAACCAATTTTAATTGTAATTTATCACTATGTTTTGGGGTTCCACTGGTTATTAATCTGGGGTTGAGTGAGTGAGCGATTGACATGCAAAGTGATTGGATTCTGTAAATCATGCAAAGGAAAGGTTGGCAGAAATCCAAATGTTGCAGGTGAGGAATGGCCAAAGAGACGGAGTCATGTACATCGTCTGATTGGGTACACTCAAAAGGAAAAACTCGTCAGAGGAATATCAACCTGCTCGGTGTGTGTTACTCGAAATCGTCCTTTATCAAATTGCTTCTGGCTCACAGTCTGAACCATCCTATTTTGTTACCCACACAATTTAAAGTTGTCTCAAAACAAAAGAGAAAGCAAACTACAACCCATATGCTCCATGTATGGAATATTTACCTACATTTACCCCAGAAATGGCCCAGTTTTGTAGGTAAATATACCAGCACCATGGAGCATATGGCTAATGCCAACTCTGGATAAATTTACGATCAAAATGGAGTACCTCCCTGGATCGCCGGTTTTGTTTAAAATCCAGAGCTGAGAAAAAATGCCAGGGGGGTCTCCCATTCCGACAAAACATAAGGGCCAACACGAAAAAAACACAGGTCTGGTGTGAAAAAACACGAAAAATAAAAAAAACCTGAAATTCAATCTATCATTCATGTCAAAAAACACGGTAAATCGATCCCAAAGGAATTGTATGATCAAAAGACACCCACGATTTCTTGGGTTTGACTTTGCAAATAAACTAGGTTGTTCTTTGGTCAACATCTTCGCTACCAGATGTTTGTCAGCCACGGATTCCTCATATCCTTTGACATGATCGAATTCCGAAGACAGAGCCGGTGTTTTGAAGTTTGTTCATTTTTTAAAACAACAAACTCAAAACCAGAAAACACCTAAGCCCTAAACCCATAAGTCCCGGAAGCAATCGCTGCGTATAGCGAGGGTTTCATTCATCCTCCGGTTTGAAACGCAGAAATGTGTCTGGGTGTAACGTTTAGGGTTGGGCGAACGTCCGGTCTGACATGAGCATGGTTAACCCCATTGTTGGACAATGGCTGTGTTCCAAAAAGCAGCATACCATAAGCCCAAAATGGCAATGTTTGTGGGAGGAAACCCAGGAATTTAGGCGTTCCCTGCATCACACCACCAGCCACCAGCCCCGGTCGTAGCCAAGATACACCAACCTCAAACAGCCAAGTACAGACACTCCGTTCTCTCTGTGGCCAGTATGTAAGCGGATACTACTACCTGCGTCTCATATGAAAACATTACGTGCTTGTATATTTTATATTATATGTATTTATTTGTGTATATATATATATATACACGTGAACAATATATACATATATATGTATATAAATGAGATATATATATATACATGTATATATTTATGGGGCCTCATATATATATATATATAGGCAGGTACATAATGTTAAAGTTCACATTATATTATTGGATAACTACTATGCATAATTCATGTATTTTTCCTGTGCACGCATCTTAAGGTATCAATATGACAGAACATGCCCAAATATACTATCTGATATTACCTTTGATGTTGGAACATTATCTGCTATTGTATGATACAGAATTATATTCCATAGATATTCCATGATTGTACATGTATATACAGACATATTCCATGATATTCCATGATATTCCCATAATATTCCCATGATATTCCAATAATATTCCCATGATATTCCATGATATTCCCATAATATTCCCATGAAATTCCATGATATTCCCATAATATTCCCATGATGTTCCATGATATTCCATGATATTCCATGATATTCCATGATATTCCATGATATTCCCATAATATTCCCATGATATTCCATGATATTCCCATAATATTCCCATGATATTCCCATAATATTCCCATGATATTCCATGATATTCCCATGATATTCCCATGATATTCCATGATATTCCCATAATATTCCCATGATATTCCCATGATATTCCCATGATATTCCCATGATATTCCATGATATTCCATGATATTCCCATAATATTCCCATGATATTCCCATAATATTCCCATAATATTCCCATAATATTCCCATAATATTCCCATAATATTCCATGATATTCCCATGATATTCCCATGATATTCCATGATATTCCCATAATATTCCCATGATATTCCCATAATATTCCCATGAAATTCCATGATATTCCCATGATATTCCCATGATATTCCATGATATTCCCATAATATTCCCATGAAATTCCATGATATTCTGTAGCGGTGGTAGCACAATGGAGCAAATGATTGGGCTCACGATCGTTCAAATGGAAGTTCACACGCAAGAAGGCCTCAGCAGCCTTTTTATGCCACAGCACCGACAGCCGCAATGGCTGGTATTGGATTAGATCCTGAAAAGGGGCCCCTGAGCATCAAGGAGCGGCAAAAGACAATGGATGGGACATGTCTGACTGAAATGTATGAGTGAATTGAAGCTCATGCTGAAATTGTTGCACCAGTAAACATTCTTCTTCAGTCAGACTTCCTTCATCCACTTGGACCATGGTCAAGCGGTCTAACGCTGACTTCCCTACCGACTTATTGCGTTTGGCTGAAGTGAAAGTCGGATCAAAAAGGATGGCCCATTCCCAAGTTTGGAGAAATCTTTGGAGCCCGGCTCTACACTCAGATCGCTTCTTCGTCAAGGCATCTGCCAAGTCGTAGTCTGAAGCCAACCATCGCAGCTCGCTGCCACAGCGCTTCAGATTGTCGCGAAGCTGAAATGCCTGCAAGGCCGCTCGCAAATTGCTCAGGCCCAAGAGCGGTGATTCATTCACCTCAACAGCGTCGTAGCCGCCACGAGAGTCTGTGCACAAAACCCCCTTGACGAGCAAACTCAACCGCTCGGTCACATCCACCAAGTCTTCTCGATATTCACCTGGATGGCTAATTCGGCAGCCATGAATCTCAGCCCAAAGCAAACGCGCTCGGAAGTTCACATCCTCAGCCTCAAGGATACTTTGTACCTCAGCATCGTTTGAGCCAATGGCACGGCGTTTCAACTTCCAGGTGCGCCATGAAAGAAGCATCATCTTGCTGACACAGCCATCAAGAGAGTTGGGACCAGAAACCAAATGAACCATTCCACCAGTGCTGCCACCCTTGTTGCGGTTGGCATGTGCTTGATCACCCATACTGATGAAAATCATTTCATTCCAAGCTTTCACATCAGGTAGATGAAAAAACTCCAAAACAGTTGCATGGTTTCTGACCTCTCCTTTCATCGTTTGGATCTCACGCGCGTGCTCAAGTGTGCCACCCATGGTGATCTCAGTCAAAAGAAGATTGCATCGAGCAGTCAACAAAGGCTGTGTTTGAATTGCTAACCACTGCAAGGCTCCTAAAGCTGCACGACATGCACCAACTTCATGAGAACTTAGAGGACCATTGCTACGTAGACCTATATCCGCTAAAGACTCCACATATGATTGTTGTTCAACACGAATGCTGAACTTGCCAGTGCGGTCAATAACGGTGTGAACATCACATCCTGCATGTCTGTAGGATCCCTTCTTGATAGTACCCCACTGGTATGCAGAATCAATGCGTTGACAAACTTCACACCACTCAGCTGAAGTGCGATCTCCGATTCTGTGAAAATCATCCACATGATCCCCCATCATGCCAATCAACCTGGGATGTTTACCTGTAATGTCCTTTTCAGTCTTGGAGTACCAGCACCACAAACATCGCTAGCCAAGAGTGGGAATGCCTCCCAGAGACTCAAGTTTCTGAGACAAGCTAAGCCACAGGCCTCGCGGTGCAGTTGTAGAGCCATAGATGTTGCGAAGAATTCTAAGAGCAGAACCTTCAGGGACACCCAAAGCCTTGCAAAGCTCTGGCACTCCAAATGTGTAAAGTTGATCATCAGCAGCAGTTGGCATGGTTTGCACAAATGCCGTAGCTAAATCCAACCCTTCTAAATGCCATTGATACAAAGTCGCAACCATGTACATCATGTTCTTGCCCATGGAGGAAATGACAGGTGCACTGGTTTTGAAATTGCGATCTAAAAGAGAAGGATGCTGAAAACCCAAAAGGACAATACGAGCTTTCGCACGCTTGCTTCCACAGGCTGATGTGACTGTGTTGTCATTCTGCATGGCATCTTTCATCGCTTCCTCTTTCTCATCAGGAGGAACCGATTTCCAGGTCAAGACCCACCTGGACTTCAAAATTCGACCGCTACCAAAAGCATTCTTCACCTCTTCATCACTCAAGCAGCGGCGGACTGCTGCATGTTTCAAAAAAGAGCTCACTTCCTTGGCTTTTGCTCTCTCAAAAAGAACACGATCTGCCGCAGACAAATTCTTCAAAGACACCTCTGCATTGTTGAGCTTTTTCACCAAATAGAGAAGTGGATCATGTTGAAAGTTCCTACACTGTTTGTGTGAAGAAAAATTCAGGTCCAGCTCAAACATGAGGCACTCGCCCTCGTAGCTATCAAGAGTCGTGAAAAGATCATCATGAGTGATTTCCTTTTCCGCCTCAGCTTCAAGGGCTTCTAACCATTTGAGGTCATAGGAGTCCTCTCTCTTTGGTTTCTTCTGCTCTGGTTCCTTCAAGTCGTATTCATTCACAGGGTCAGGAGCTATTGATGGTTCATAGTCAGAGTCTCGACCCTCATCTATAGGAACATCTTCTGCAAGAGGAGGCTGCGCAGAGGAAGTGGTCTTAGACCTAGATGGCAAAGAAGGTGAACTTGCTGCTGCAGCTGGCACAAAATTCTTGACCTCCACATACTGTCGATCTTGGCCAATTGGAGATGAGCGATGAATTTTCTGATATGGCACAGGTCCATACTTCGGTCGTAAATCTTCAGGACCGTAGGTCTGCTTGCCATGAGCTCTCATAATGGGCACCATTGTGGAGCGGTCTGGTTGCTCAGGTAAGTCAGGAACCTCGATCTCACCAGGTCCTGGCTCTTCAGAAGTAACATCTATGAACTCCTTTTGAGGAAGCATATCCGCCAAGGTGCGCCACTGTGACGGATCCTCCTTGTTGGTGAGTTCATGGTGCAAACGCTCGGTTTCATTGGCAGGCCGAACAGAGTGAATAGAGCAGCGCCAAAGTTTCTTGCCCATCAAAATCCAGAGAATGTGCTGGCGAGAGTCATCAGGCTCCTGGTGAGCTAAGGGTTCAGAAAGAACTACCCTCCCTGGTCCAACCCAATGTGGTCGACCAGATTTTCGGAGACCACCTCTGACGCCTAGGTGATGCTCACCCGCTTGCACCTTTCTCCACACCATGACAAGGTCGGAGACATTGTAGTGTCGAGGCGGCTGCCTGACACTGGTGTTGGAGAGTTTGCTCAACACTCGTTGGCCTCTGGTTTTTCGTGCAATCTCTTCAGCATCTTGTCGTGCTTTTGCTACGCTGATGAAGTTGGTCTTGGCGTTGCCCACTGATTGCCAAAGACGCGTGTCCTCATCGCTGATGGCATAGTGAGAGCCGAATGCCCATTGATGTGCAGAAAAACCTGCCGTGAACTCGGTGGAGTTGAGAGCTGAACATGCCAAAGACATTGTCATGTCTGGAGAGTTTTCCAAAGCTTCTAGGTGGATCGCCGTCGCAGTGTGTTTGATATCAGCAATAGCTGCTTCCACAATTCCATGACTCCAAGGTTCTTTCTCAGGAGGGAACTTCAATTCAATCCCTTGGGCATGAAAAAACTCATGTAGCTGAACTGATGTAAAGCTCTTGGCATTGTCGGCGACGACCATTTGAGGCTTTGGAAAATGTGCCAACCAGCTCGCTGAGAAGGATTCTATGATCTCTTCAGCACTTTCTGATTGCATCGCCAGCTCTGGGTAAATCTTGATGACAGAGACCACGCGCAACTTCGTGGCAAGATCTATCATCAAAAGAAACCGTGCCTTCTTCTTCAAACCTGGCACCAACCACTCACTGGTATCCAAGCCAATCACTTGCCAAGCTTGTGGAAGACAATGTGTTGATGCCGGTGGTATCTGTCCTGATGAGACCCCACCTGGTTTGAGAGAAGCACATGTCTCGCAGTTGTGCTCCAGAGCAACTTGAATCTTCCATTGTGGTGCCCCAGAGTCACGGATCACCCGTGCCAAGTTTCGATTGGTAGGGTGCCCAGCTGCTTTGTGGAAATGAGAAACTCTGGCACGCCATCTCTGGAGATCAGCATCAGAGGGCACACTTTCCGCAGGCTCCATCGCCTTCATAGCAGGAAGAATGTGTCCTTGCTCTTCAAGCACATTGAGTTCTTCTTCAACTGACAGCATCATGGGTTGATCTTCCTTTGCAAACAGAAGTCGTTGACTGCGGTCAGAAAGAAGCTCTTGTCGCCAAGCAGTTGCGATCGACTTGACCATGCGCCAAGGGTAATATGAACTCTTGGCTGTCTCTATGCCGGCTACTTGGCTATGGCGATGACCTCCAGGACAGGTTTTGGCAGCAAAGCGCTGATGGAAATAGGTGCTGGTTGTGCGCACCAGCCACTGCTTTCTCAGAAAGTCTCCAGCTCCATCTTTTTCACGAAGACCATAGTTGCAGCCATCAATGCGGCATCGTAGCCACTCCCGACCACGTGCTTCAAGAATGGCTTGTAGATATTGAAGAGGAGCTTGTTGCCAACCTATGCAGGGCCATGGCCACTCCCAGAAGACATCCAGGAGAGGATCTTCATCCAGCGCTTCTTCTATGAAGTGCACCATCTTCCAAAGCATGCGAAGTTCTTTGCGACGGTATGCCGCTAGAATCAACTTCCTCTCCGGCGTGGAGTAGTTGAGGTAACTCCACTGGCACCACTTGGTACATGGCAAGGAAATCCACAGCCTCTTTGGACGATGCTTTCGCCTCAAGGATCGCAAGTCACTCCAGGTCTTGTCCTGATACAGGTTGTAGCCCTGCTCAAGGTTGATACGTCGAGCTCGCAAGCCCTGTTGATCACATGCCTGAGAGAGCCATGAATGTGGAGCGCATGCAATCTCCCAGACACCATCCTGGGTGTCCAGCAAAAGATCTGAAGCCAATGACACCATAGAGCTCATCAGAGTAGTTGCCAAGAAAAGGACCCGAGCCGCCATAGATCTCGTCAGAGGAAAAGAGCTCTTCATGGACGTCGAAGATTGTTTGGAAGAAGAACTCGGCAGTTTCATAGATGATTTCTTGGACATAGAGCTCTTCAGTTTCGTAGAGGACTTCGGAGACGTAGAGCTCGAAGGTGTCAAAGTGTGGCTCATAGATCTCTTCAAAGTTGAAGCCGGTTTCACGGACTGTCCCCTGGCGGAGTGTCGATGTGAAACACCTCGCTCTCCTTCTGGGTCTCCTTGCGCTGAGTGATGGTTGCCATCAACTGTGCCATCTCCTCGGAGTTCAAATGAGCATGAAGATCTCGGGAGAGTGAGCTCTCCGCCTCCATGTTGTGAACGTGCTCCCATGAGCCCGTCGGAGAGACGGACTTGGCCATCTTGAGGTAGCCCGCCTTGGCCTTGGGCTTGATCTGGCTGGCATTGATCTCCAGGTGCTTCTGGATGCCACTCATCAGAACCGTCTCTGCGTCGATCTTTTTCTGCATGGCCAGACAAAGTTCTGACGTCGGAGGCACCGACTTCAAAAGGATCTCCAACTCGTTGAGCATCTTCTGCACCTGGTGCTCGTTCTCCACCTTTGTTGTCTGAGCCGCTGAGCCGACTCGAGGAGTGTAGCTGAGTCGAACATTGCAAATCTTGCAATGCACCCAACTGCCGTGTGGATTGGCATGGGCTTTGGCTTCCTGGTGATTGCCAAAGCATGGCCACTGACTGGCCTTCATTCGTGGGTCCCGCAAGTCCGGCCCCACTCGACGAGCATGGTCGAATGGACGAGTCTGGGACTTGCCTGGTGTGGTCTCCACAATCTCGTCGAACTTTTCCACCTGTTCTGGACTCATAGTGGAGTTCCGCTTGCTCATGGCTGGAACTGGCTGGTGGACTCGAATTGGGCAGCGCGTCAGTCTCGCAAGACATTCGAGCAGAGTGCTGCAGTTTCATTCGAAACTGACGACTGCTCTCATGCAACTTTCGCAAGTTTCGCTTTGCACGTGACATCATCTGTGGATCATTCATGGGCATCTTCACATCGATCATCATCGCATCAAACTCGATCGGCATGAACTGAATGAAATTGTTCTCAATGGTGGCTGATGGTGTGTGTTTCACAACATGTACCCGTGGATGACCCTCTGTAGAAGTGCAACCCCTGGTGAGAAAATAGATGATGTCCAACACATAGTGACCCTTACGATTCGCCTTCAACTGGTAGATTACGGGATTTTCTTCACTAGAATCCAAAGCCATGCCAGTCATGAAGTCAATGGTCATAGATGAGTGAGGTCCAGATAGGTGATCCATACCGATGAGAATGGGAACCAAAGTAGATTTGTCAAAGTCCGGTCTATGAAGTTCTGAAGGATTTGGAAGTGCATACAAACCAAAACTTCGCTGAATACCGCTGACCTTTGAGGAAATAACAACTTTGTATAGTGCCCTACCCCACCGACCATTGCCAAAGCGAAAATAAGGGCGATCGGACTGGCGGACTTCAATCTCAGCTTGTCGGTCTGCCGCAAGTACGGCAGCCACCAAATTCTCTACAGCTATCTGAGGGCCAGCTGATGCTGTAGCTCCTGAATCTAGAAGACCATGAGTGCTAGGCAAACATTCTGTGCTGCTGGCCTGCACCTCATTGGCACTACTGAGAAGCTCGAGACCACCAAAGAAGACTTCCGAGTGATAGGAGTTCACTGGTGGGCGAAGGGCTTGACCCTTGCCTTGTTGAGAAGGACGTGGACCCTTCCCTTTCATCCAAGCCTGTGCTTCAAGCCAGTGATTGTTCTTACCTTTCTTGCCCTTCACGCGACCAGCGTAGAGGTCTTCATGGAAATAGGGGACACTGTCGTCATATTCAGACATGTAGGACTGCTTGCCCTTGAACTTGCCTTTCATCATGCTTGGATGACGTCGATCAGGGCAATCCTTGGCCATATGTGGCCCATTGCAAATCCAGCAGCCCTTTCCCTTTTGGCCAGGCAAGGAGGGATGCTGACCAAAGCCCCGATCTTTCCTCAGAGCAGCTGTGGCACGTTGTGCCTCTGACCAAGTGCGCTGAGCCTCCAAAGCAAGTGACTCCGCAACGCGTTCAGCCTGTTGAGCTTCCTTGATGGCAGGGTCCTCAGCGTCAGCTGAAGAAGGTTCTTCAGGTTGTTCAGCCACATAGCTTTCGGACCAATCCCAGTAAGGATCATGCCATGAGCTCCAATCTTCGGCATACTGTGCATCTTCCCACTGCCAGGAATCAGCCTCATCCATCTCGGCCACATAGGTCTCCTGAAAGTTGGAATGATGCACTTGAGCACGTTGTCCAGCAAATTGTTCATCCCAAAGCGTTTGAAGTGCCTTGGTCACTTGGTCAAACTCCAAGGAACCACGTGTGGAGGACAAGATCACACGTCGTTCTTCTGGTGTCAATCCAGCAGCCTGCAAAACTCGGAATCCTCGCAAAACACCTAGCACAAAGGAGTCAGCAAAGGTCAGCTCGTTGACCTCGTCATCATCAAAGAAAGACGGCTGAACACCTGCCGAACGTCGGCTTGCAGCTGGGGATTCTTGAGGAATACGGCTATAGGTTCCTGCAGGTGAACCACTGTCAGCCATGGGAGAAGTTCCGACTCCACGCTCCATGGTGGGCACGGCATCATAATCACGGTGCCATGACCATCCAGCTCCAGGAAAATCTTCATCTCGATCCCACGTTGACCATTCATCATACTGAGGAGCTGGTGGAAGACCAAAATCTGAGTCTTCAGGACGCAGGCCCTTCTTCTCTTCAGCCAATCTCACCAACGATTCTACAAACTCAGTATAGCCCAAAGACTCTCTCACCAAGAATGTGGTCATAGGCTCGTTGACCTTCCTTCGGAAGTCAAAGTACTGAGCACAAATTGCAGATGCATTGGGAAGCGACTGACGAACAAGAGGACTCACTGCGAGTCGCTGCAGCAGGGTCTTTGTCCCGTTGTAGTCATCCAGCGCCATATCGGTCCATGACATCGCCAAAAGTCTGGCGGAGCCGGTAAGCCGGCTGAGTAGTTTGGTCGCCACATAGCGTCTCTTGTGGGACGGCGTGGCACGAAAGTACCAGGCAACTTCCCTGGTGTACCTTCTCCATGTTCTAGCTGTTCCATCCCAGCTAGGTATCACATCCCTTCCTTCAGAAGACATGATGTAGAAAAAGAACAAGTCAAAGGAGAAGTTCTGGAGAAACAAGAAAAGTTCAGGAATGCCCCTAGGTTCTTGCCGTACTTATACTCTTGATTCAACACAAAGGCAATGACGTGCAAGGTGAACAGAATCAACCAGTAGAGCTAGTAGTTTACAAACTCCCTGATAGTGTCAATGTTCTCCAAGCTCAATGCACAAACAGTCGCCAAATGAAAAGGGGCAAGAGTTCGCAAGAACTGCCTGACTTGTAGCCGAAGGTGATCAGAACCTCTGGCTCCCCAATCTTGTAGTCGCAGCAGGCCCCAGATGGAGTCCTGCTCCGCTACCAATGTAGCGGTGGTAGCACAATGGAGCAAATGATTGGGCTCACGATCGTTCAAATGGAAGTTCACACGCAAGAAGGCCTCAGCAGCCTTTTTATGCCACAGCACCGACAGCCGCAATGGCTGGTATTGGATTAGATCCTGAAAAGGGGCCCCTGAGCATCAAGGAGCGGCAAAAGACAATGGATGGGACATGTCTGACTGAAATGTATGAGTGAATTGAAGCTCATGCTGAAATTGTTGCATATTCCCATGATATTCCCATGATATTCCATGATATTCCATGATATTCCCATGATATTCCATGATATTCCATGACTTTCCATAATATTCCCATAATATTCCCATGATATTCCATGATATTCCCATAATATTCTCATGATATTCCATGATATTCCCATAATATTCCCATGATATTCCCATAATATTCCCATGAAATTCCATGATATTCCCATAATATTCCCGATGATATTCCCATGAAATTCCATGATATTCCCATGATATTCCCATGATATTCTCATGATATTCCATGATATTCCATGATATTCCCATAATATTCCCATGATATTCCCATAATATTCCCATGATATTCCCATAATATTCCCATAATATTCCCATGATATTCCCATGATATTCCATGATATTCCCATAATATTCCCATGATATTCCCATAATATTCCCATGAAATTCCATGATATTCCCATAATATTCCCGATGATATTCCATGATATTCCCATAATATTCCCATGAAATTCCATGATATTCCCATAATATTCCCGATGATATTCCATGATATTCCCATAATATTCCCATGAAATTCCATGATATTCCCATGATATTCCCATGATATTCTCATGATATTCCATGATATTCCATGATATTCCCATAATATTCCCATGATATTCCCATAATATTCCCATAATATTCCCATAATATTCCCATAATATTCCCATGATATTCTCATGATATTCCATGATAATCCCATTGATATTCCAAAGCCTTACACACAGACATACATATTACGTTTGTTCACCGACTGATCAACGGGGAAGACCCTGAGCCCTGGCGCTCCAATATGGATCACCGCGAATGGGCGCGACTCCTGTGCTAAACGTGCCGAGGACTCGTGGACTCTGTCGTTGGTGGATGACTGTTACTTGGAAATCCAAAAAATGTGCTAAAACCCATCTAAAACCAATCTTGAATCATAATGAATCTATATAAATAATATATATATATATAAATATATAAATGAATAATAACGACATAAATCGTTGTAAATCTCCAACTTTTTTGAGTTGTGCACGGCACGAAGTTCGCTGGGATGCCAATTCCGCAAAGTTTTGCGTGGTGAGAGTAGGGAGTTGTTTCTGATAACTTCACAGTTATGGAGAAGATAAACCACAATCCTAAGGGATGAATGTAAGGGATATATATTCCTAAGATATTACAACTTTGTTTCTGAATTTGAGGGACAAATGTAAGGTGCGATTTCAAGACAAGATAAGACAAGCCAAACCATCACTGGACTTGGATGCTTTGGCCAGCTGAAACTCAAGTTGCGGCCCAACTTGGGGTTTTCCGGGGGGGCCCTGTCTCCTCCATGATGGGAACATCGCCATATCCAACTGTAGTGGCAGTGACCACGCAATGGTAAAGGGACTCGGCGAGTCGGTGGCAGACCCTGTGAAGTCAGCATTGCATCACCAACCTGAAATATCTGGGTGAATCTGGGTGCTTCCCCTTACCAATCATTTATCATAACTTATCATTATTTTATGTATGTACATGATTGTACATGTATATTTTTTTGTCAATCTCCAAATCAGATCGTGCACATGCAAGTGCTGCTCGGATGCTTGTCCATTCCGCCCGGATTACCTTCAATCATCCCTGTCCCCTGCCGGATCCCATATTAAACACACCACAGAAACAATGGTTGAGAAGGGGATTTACACAGAATAGGACCAAATTTGCTGCAGGCTGTGTTTAAGATTGGTGGCTATACAAAACAGTTCTGGATTCAATCGATGATTGAAACAAACATCAATAAGCTACAGAACAGCAACAAACCTCACAAGGTTTCCAGTGTCTTCTATCTGCTACATCTGGCCAACACATCAACTGTCATTGAAAGGTGGTGCCGTCACTTGGTTCACAAACCATCACCCCATTATGCGACCATGAAGCCTAGTGAATAATGGTTAATAGCTAATCATGGTTAATCATGGTTAACCATAGTTAATCATAATTCATCATAGTTGCTCAATGTAGAAACTAACTTAGCTAACAAACTGGGGGACACCACCGGCTGTAGGAACCCCTAGGAACCTTTCCCCAGGTTGCAACGCCGTGTTGCCAGAGGGAATGTCAGGTCTTGTAGGACCATGAATATACCTTGCTGCCAGTTTCGGGTCGGCGAATGATACATTTCTGGCAGCTCAAAGATGGGGATATATATATTTGGAAATGCACAGAACGGTGCAAGTTTGACCTTCCCAAAGTTCGGTGGTGATTTTTCTGGCCATGCCATCATGGCAAGCTTGCCATGTCATATGTGAATTTCTGTAAATCTATACATAGAAAAGGAGGGAACAGGAATGATTCGGTACGACATCCCATTTTTCTCTATATGTTCAATATGAGCAGTTTTCAAACTTATTGTGGATTGATTCTACTGGCAAGTTGGTTCGGGATTCCGCAACTCCTCAAAATTTCTCCATTGAACCAGCCACAACCATGTCAAACCCATATGGGTTTGTCAGAACACAGGGTCTATTCACTGGGTGGTTTATAAACATGTTCCCAATTAAGTCGTCTTTCCTCGGAATATACATGAATATAATATACCCCATTCTGAGAATTAAAGTCCATTAATTAACATCCTATAAATCTCCAGCAAATCATGGTTCTCACATTAGCAAACTTCATTAATAACACATATCCCATTGATCCATCCAACCCACAAAGCTCTCCAAAAGAAACGTCCGACTTTCGACTTGGCGTCGAGATGCAGGCGCAAAAGAGCTGCCAGGTGGTAAACATCATCACTGGAACAAACATATTGCTCACCTCAGTTGATCATACCGTATGATTCCTAGTGCCTAGCGACGACTTAAGGCTTATATGTCGAAATGTGCTGTTTACCTGTCCTTCGTATGTAAGTATGTATATATTGTATTGTATTGTATTGTAATGTAGTGTAGTGTATTGTAATGTAATGTAATGTAAATGTAATGTAAATGTAAATGTAGTGTAAATGTAATGTAAATGTAACGTAATGTAATGTAATGTAAATGTAATGTAATGTAATGTACCGTCTGTCTGTCTGTATGTATGTATCTATCTATATGTATGTATGTGTATATATGTAGTATCTATATCTACGTCTGTAATATATAATGGGTATATGTATATCAAAAAAAAATAATACCCTCCAGGTCAAAGACCTCGTAAAACTTGGCCTTTTAACTTTGCTGAAAAGGACCTACTATTACTTGATGAGGACCTACTATTACTTGGACCTTTTGGGTCCAAAGTTAAGATGATGGCCATGGATGTCCAACAGTAATATATAAGATGCATAACCCATAATTGTTGACCTAAATTTCAGGATAGCCACATCCCTTCACCGACCAAATATCCAATTTGCGGTTTATCATAGGGTACCCCACACTATTTTATCATTGGGAGTCTAGGGCTGGAACCACCACAAACGTATGGTTTTTGAATTATCAGGGGCCCAGAATCGCTAGCGTGAACCGAGCGTGAACCGAGCGTGAACCGGACCAACTATGACCGGCAAAAGACCAACTTTGACTGGCAAAAGACCAACTATGACCGTGAACCGAGCGTGAACCGAGCGTGAAACCCTAGGAACCATTTTTTCAGTGTGGAAATTTCTGCCAAACATATAATTTCTTGAGGGGAAACGCAACGAATTTGCTTTGCATATGCTCCGGAATGTCAGCCTTAGTGGCTGTTCATTGCAACTTGGAAAGGCCCATTCGGGGCTATGATCTGTAGGTGATTGAATGCTTCCCAATCATGCATCAACAGTTTCAAATGGGGTTCAAGTCAAATTCAGCATTGATGTGGAAAAAGGGCTGAGCTCTATAAAACCAAGTAAACCAGAGGACCTCGTAAAACTTGGTCTTTTGCAAAAGACCTCGTAAAACTTGACCTTCCGACTTAATCATAAACATATAAGCCAACACACATTCAGGTTTCCGTTGATTCATTTCAACGAAAATATGGTATAGTTTATGGTAGATTATACAAACCAACCAAC